AAGTGGTGATGATTTGAGAAGGCTAAATTGATCAAACATAGGCTATGATTAACTCACTGTCTGCCACTGGCCGGTTGGTCGTTACTTTAAAAAAACAAACACTTGAATTTAACAAACAAAAACATTTTCCAAACATATTTCTAAATTAACGTAATAAAGAAACGAAAATATATATAACCACTTTTAGCATTAAAAACGAAACTGAACTATTTTAATGGCTACAACAGCAGCTGTGTAATTGGGGAAGAGAGAAAGAGAAAAAAAAGACACGGGATCCAGTCAGACTCGGCCAGTAATTCTGATAATCTGTCGGATAAGGGCCGGACTAGGGCATATGTTTGAGGCCCGTGCAGGGTTCTGCTGAGCTTATTTGGTAGCAAACTCAATTTGGTACTGGCAAGGTGGCTTTATATACACGCATGAGCGCACTTTGTATGTGACTGCGCACCACCTCTGGAGCGCGCGAGTACCGAATGGCTTAAAAAGACGTGCAAATAAATAATAAAATTTTCTGACGATGCAACAATGACCCGATTAGGCAAGTGACAATTCTGTCAACTGTCCCGAAATGCGAGTGAAAGTCTTGTATCGCAGCGTGCAGCGGCTCTTGTAGCACAGACAAGATGCACCGATGTGAAGCCGTTTGAAAAGAAAGTCAAAGAGAGAAGATGCGTACAGCTGAATCACTCACGCTGTTTTCAAATGACTGATTTGATCATTCTGTGTGGACTGGACTCAGTCTGTAGGTTTGATTATTTACTCATCAAACCTACATGCTATAGGCTATTGAATAAGTGTGTGAATATCCATCATTTTAAAGTCAAAAGCTGCGGGAATGAGTAAAACTATGATTTGTGAAATAGATTTCAATGACTTTTCAAAAACTTTGACATAATAATAATTTTAACAGTAAAATTATTGTTTTACAATTTAATTTCACATTACGAGCCATCAAGGTCAAGGATTTAATGATGATGATATTTCTATAAATATCCACTTTAAATGATCATATAGCATATACTATAGCATGGTAATTAACAAATATCAAGACCATCTTATCCTAAGACAAACTTATCATTGAAGAGATCACTTCTTGAAAAGATAATGATTTTATCCTTTTTTTTTATTTAGCACATGTACTAAAATTAATAGTGCTTTTTTGTGGATATATTTAGAAGCGTCTATAGTAAAGAAGCTTTTCGTAGAACGGCCCTTAAAAAATAATTTGTGCATCTAAACTCACCAGCTTACAACAAAGGTGGACATTTTTTTTCACATACTTCAGCAGCAGCATGGCAGCATTATTAATAGCCTCCTTCCATTTCCTAACCCTAACACTAATAAACAAAAAGACCCATTCTCATACTCCAACAGAGAACGCTGCAGGTGAGAGGTGGTATAAGGTACAGTAGAATAATTAGGTAGAATAACAGGGCTGAAAAGTCATCAGAATACTGCTGGAGTAAGAGAAATACACACTGCCTCTCCATTACAACCATATTAAACTGGATCTATGTGGGTCACAAAATAACCATTCATCCCGTTACTTGAATCTCAGCAGCTAATGGAATTTTAATCACTGCCGGCAAAACAAAACAGTGGAAAGATCTGCTTTGTCTAAATGGTTTATGGAAAATATAATCATTGAATATAATGAAGGAATACACATTTCATTTGACATTATTAGCTGTACATACAGGGTCAAACTTATTCACAATACCCAGATTTAATAAAGTGAAGATCTATGAAATTTCTATGGCATTAAGAATGTTGGGGTAAACCGTGAACACAATTTTCTTTAAATGATTAGGTTGGGCCATAAATTAAGCATATATATAATTAAGCACAATAATGTAAATGCCCTTAAAATGCATAAATGCATTATACTTACATGTATCCACGAAATCTGTTGAGGTCATTGTTGGGCTTCTCACATTCAATAACACTGCAGTATTTTAATGGGTCAAACTCACAGTCCTGCAAATGAAAAACAGATTGTAATTTGGCATCTGAACACTAAATATCTCAAGCAAAGATAAATAAAATATTTAAAATTGAATGATTAATGGACAGTTCACCCAAAAATGAAAAGTCTCATCATCTAATCAACCTCATGTTGCAAAATTTCAGTCTATTCCTCATACAAAAGGTTTTATGATTTTAGAAGACTTTGAATATATAGGGCACGAGACTTAACTACTTTTTAATGTGCCTTTTTGTATGAAACAATAGCAGCATGGACATTTTCAGCGATTAAGGTAATTATTTTTGAGGTAAACTACTCTTTAACATTCAGTTAATGTTGTCAACTCTCTTATTGACATCTTAAGACGTTACACATACAGGACGAGGGAAAAGAATATTTGACTTTGGTGAGTGGTGTGAAATGACGTTATCTCCGTGGACAAGCACAGACCATCTGAACACACACACCATCACATTAACTGTTCTTGACACCAGGATGCTTCTATTCAGTTCTTTACTCAACCGATGGGATTTCACAACAAACACACCAGTGTCCTGAACACTCACCAGGTCGATAAAGCTGCGCACCACCTGCCTCTGCTTGAGGTTGGTTTCGCCGTCCAGTGTGGCCGTCTCAATGTGACACAGGCGGTCCGGGTCGCTGCTGCTGAGCAGCAGAACATCCGCTGGCAGAATCTCATTGCAGCGCAGACGTATGAAGTCTCCGACCCGCAACTCTTTCCAGTATTTCTCCACATACTGTTTCTCACTCCTGCAAAGGGCAAAAGAAAACAAATGTAATTTACTCATAATCATGTCGCTAAGTAAAGAGGGGCTTTATTTCACAGAAGCCACTGTGGGCTATAGGCACACATGCCTTTCAATACTGAATGTTCAAATCATTCAATTTAATTTTAATATTCCATGTTGAGATTGACAGATGGATGGATGTAACCTTTCTAGAAATCGACAAAGTCTCAGATTCATTGATTGAGATAATACCACAGACACAAAACATACCCAGATGTTGGTGAACACAATTCAGAACTTCATCAGGACAGATTAAACAGACTAAAAACATGTTAAATTTTCACAATTTGCTTTATTTACCATAAATGTATTTTGTAGGGGTGCTCAGATCATGATTTTTGAGGCAGATCACCGATCGCAAAAGTTGCTCAAGCAAGTGACATTTAAACTACTTTTCTTATGTTATCACAAACTTACCATTGACAGAAATAGTCAGCTCTACTGCCTTTCCTTTTGCATTAGAATCTTTATTACAAGCAATCCTGCGGTTCATAAAGAACTTTGTTTTCCTACCTCCACGAGTGCATCTATTATTGCCTTGTTTATCTAAAAGTGCTCTTTTCCTTTAAAGGGGTCATATGATGTTGCTAAAAAGAACAATATTTGGTGTATTTGGTGTAATGAAATGTGTTTATGTGGTTTAAGGTAAAAAAAAAAAAAAACACATTATTTTCCATATACTGTACATTATTGTTTCTCCTCTATGCCCCGCCTTTCTGAAACTCGTCGATTTTTACAACGCTCATCGGTCTGAAAAGCTAGGTGTGCGGTGATTGGCCAGCTATCCAGTGCGTTGCGATTGGCCAAATACCTCAAGAGTGTGACGGAAATGTTACGCCCCTTGCCATATTGTGATAACTTGTCCCGGCCGGAGCGACGAGACAAAAACATTAAAACCCATTATGAATGAGGCATTTGTTGCAGGCATTTGGCATTTGGTCTTTTTACGCGTTGCATTGCATCGTGCCGCGTAAACATAAAACCATGTCTGCATTTGTGATCTGAGAAATGACAAACAACAAGTGCTACTCTACACTGCTCAAAACTTGCGTTTGAATCGTCAGTGGCAAATTCTTTAAATATAAAAAACGTACTTACAGTCTGCGAGTCAGAACAGCCGGCATTGTAGTCTACTCTACCAGGATCAGGAAACAGTCCTCCATAAAATGCGCTGGACACATCAGAATCTTTGGGTTAAACTGTTCTGGAACAGTGTTGTAAATACAACTTAACCACTGATTTCTAGTCGTGTCCTCTTTTGGAAGGCCAAACAAAACAAAAACACAGCGTCTCACACACAGCAGGCTAGAGTGCCCGGAGGTCTAGAGTGAGCAGAGGCCGGGATCTAGAGTAAGCGGCAGCAGGTGGGCTTGAGAACGGCGCGGCGAGCGGGCTTGCGGCAACCACATGTGACGACCCCGGGCTGCACTCTGCTTCGCCCACGGTGAAAGCCGATCCGGCGATCCACAGCGTCAAGTTGATGTATTCCTTCAGCAATCAGCACGGATCAGCTCCAGGCATGACGAAGAGGATATCATCCTCCTTTGGAAGGCCAAACAAAGTAGTTTCGCTTTCACAACGAAACACACAGTGCCTTCACGACATGGCGGCAGCAACAATACTACAGCGAGAATAAAAGTTACGCCTTCTTTCTTTGCGTGAACATTTGGGCGGCGTTATGCAAATCTTCCCACATCGTGACGTAGACATCAGAATCAGAATGAGCTTTATTGCCAGGTATGTTTACACATACAAGGAATTTGTTTTCGTGACAGAAGCTTCCACAGTGTAACAGAATGACAGTGACAGAACACAAAACACAGATAATAAAAAATAGAACAAGTAAATAAAGAATAAAAATATATAAATTGACAGTTGTATGTGCAGGTATATTACAATAGACAGTTTTTGTATGTACAGGTAGTGTTTATTATGTGCAAATTTGAGGTGTAGACCGAGTATGTGTGTTAGATAAATAAGTGTATGAGTGAATAAATAGTGCGTGTTCCACAGTTATTGTTAAGTGTTCATGAGATGGATTGCCTGAGGGAAGAAACTGTTCCTGTGTCTGGTCGTTCTGGTGCTCAGAGCTCTGTAGCGTCGACCAGATGGCAACAGTTCAAAGAGGGAGCGTGCTGGATGTGAGGAGTCACACACATAATGCCACACACATAAAGACTCTGGTTGGGACTCGCCGCTGTTAAACAAACCTTCCTTCTGTTTCTTTTCCCGTCTTACCACACATGTGGGGGCATGTTAGAATGAGCCGGTTTAGGTAGGCGTGGTTGACTTAACTTTTATAAAGAATATCTCTTTGGATTTGAGACTTTAGTCTTTGCAACTTTACAGATCTTCTTTATGCAGCAAGAGCTTGTAACACTCCAAAGAGAAAGGAAAAATGGAAATCGCATCATATGACCCCTTTAAAATTAGCCAACAAGCCATATGTGTTGACTGTGAAAGACAGTATACTTTAATTATATGCATTTATGGTGCAATTGCTACATTTTCGTTTTCATATGTACTGCAAGCAATGTGCTGTCCCTTTAATTCAGCGCGTGTATCCCAGCAAAAATAGACTCGGTGCGGAAACGATCTCTGCACTGCTGCAGACGCACCGCTCCTGAATGCACTGCCGTGTGCAGTGTGAATGCTTTAATCCATTAACATGAGCGCGGAAAAAATACGCACCACATACCACGCACTGCAAACAGAATAATGTGAACCTGGCATTATGTGTGTGCGCTGCAAGTGTGCATGAGTGCACGGTCTACAGGAGAGCCCACGAGCGCTGAATGGTTAAACACTGGCAAGAATGAAAAAGTAATGCAAAAACTTTACTTTACTTGTATAAACTTTAGTGACGATGTAACACTGCCTTGATTGTGCAAGTGACAATTCCTGGGTCAACTGTGCAGCTCGCTTACAGACAGACATGATGTGTGGTGATTTGAAGCCATTCGAGTATTTTTAGAGAGAAAGAGAGCACGCGGTGATTCACTCACGCTATTTGTGAAATTACGTCTCACACAAGGTTTTCAAATTACTTTGCAAGTTATTTAATGAAGAAATATGAAGGTGAATACGTAATCTTCAGCATTATAATTATTTCACCTGCTCCGGACAGAGACTGAGACGGTGCTGCTGCATGTCGTGCCAAACCTTCTCACGGCAGTGTCATCAGTAGGGATGCAACGATTATAGATTTTGTTGGTACGATTATTGTCTGAGAAATAATCACGATTATGACGATTATTATGCATTTATTAATTTCACAAAATTATTATTGTATAAAATCACATGGACACTCTTTAGATAAAGTGTTATTTATTGCTGCCTTTAGAAACAGAAATAACACGGTAACCAATAATACAGCACAAAATAATAATAAAGACAAACAAATGTCTATCTCTCCAATTGGAATTAAAAAGGTGACCTCTGCTCTGTAAACATGTCAGTATTTCCCTTTTGAAAATAACTAATGAAAATA